AAAATAGATTCAATTACAAAACCAACGTATGACTTGAGTGAGTGCGTTGTCTCATTCCCAGGTTCGCACTCACTCCTTCCAGTCCTCCTGCCCCATCTGTGGAATCAAACCTATCCCACGTTCAGGACTCTGCGTGCTGCCCCTCTGCGTGATTCCTCCTGGCCTCGCCTGGCCAACTGCACCTGCCTCATGCCCTGCCTCACACACCTGAAGCACATCAGCGCTCCACCAAACCCCAGCAGCTTGTCCTGGCAGCTTTCTAGATGCTGACTCCCTGGATGCCATTCAAACCATATCACTGCAGTTGGTTTGTTTCTCCAGGACCATTCTCCTGAGATAAGATTTCCTAATACTTAACTTGAGCTGCTCTCAGATGGTAGGCTTTACCTGATGACAAGACTTCTTCCAAGCACTTTCCCTGGTTCTGTTCCCCTTTTGCTCATCTGACTCCCGTGAAAGGGTTCTGGTTTCATGTTTTAGCTCCTCTCCCTCTCCTCCACCGCACTGCAGTTTATCCAGCAATCTGGATAGAGCGGGGCATGCAGATCCTGGCCTACACCCGGATCAACTTGCCTGTTTTCCTATTATTGCAAGCATTTTAGCATTATATATACTCCATATCAGACCACAACTTCCTATATTTTGTTAATTACCCTAAATCTACAACCCACACACAGAAAGATGAGCCAATCAACAGAACAATCAGACCAAACAAGCTGGGTTATTGGTAGTGAGGAAAAATATTCTGCTCTTCCAAACCAAAAGCAGTATTCTAAGACAAGCTTGTCTATGCTCCCACGGAGCTCTGAATAGCCCTGCACTCCTCCTCTGAGTTCTAAAGTGTCCCACTTCTACCCTCTGAAGTTCCAACTACCTCCAAGAACCACAGCCTGGCACAGGAATAAATTCAACTCATCCATATGTCCCTAAATCCCCTCCTTACACAGTCACTGCACCCAAAACCCATCATCCTGACCCACCAGGGCTGAGTGCAGCTACTCCTCCAGGCTTGGAATGGAGAGAGAAAAAACTGTTCAGTTCTTTTCCCAATGTTGCCTGCTTCTAAAGACGCTAAGAGGATGATAGATGGGATTTACCCAGACAGTATAGATCCAGAGGCATCTCAACCTGTACCAGCTTCTGCATTATCACCAGACACACTATCTCTCACTATGTGGGGCCCCTAGATGAGTCTGTTCTACAGACTGGCATTTTTCAGTACATGATCTCTGATCACCTCCATCAAAATCAGCCAAGGGATTGTTAGAATGCAGATTCCCATATCCTAGCCCACAGAGACCGATTCAGACACTCTGGAGCTGGACTACACACATCTGCATTGTTAACAAGATCTCCAGGGGATTCTGATGCATGCTAACTGTAATTTGGGACTACTTCCCATACTCTTGACCCACAGCAGAGTACCCTGAAGCAGAGGGGTATCACCAAGTGATAACTTCAGTTCAGAAGCCTAGGGTACGATTATGCATGTTTTGGAGCCACAGGAGCCCAGCAGAAAGAGCCACAGGAGCCCAGCAGAAAACAGTATGTCTTCAAAAGAAACTTCAGAAATATGCTAGCTATACTATTATTACTGGGATCCTGCTTGGACTGAAAATGGAGACATGTGCTGAGAGCAGCCAGGTAGATCCAGACATCAGCACAGATGTCTGTGTAGTGAGGAAAGAGGGCTGCAGAGGCTGAGCAGGAAGTTCCGTACAGCTGGAATGCTCTCCAGATGAACAGGATGCTGTCTCTCTGGAGTCACCCTGTGCCATCTGGAGGAGCATGTACATACCTTTAAGAACCAGTCTTGATTCCCAAATGTTAACCAGCTGACACACCCAACGAGTCAAATAAACTGGGCTGGGTGCAAAGTGGCTTCCCTAAGGCTCGATTCATGCTTTGATTTAGAAACTATAAAAGTCTTCAAGTATACTCAGACTGAGGTTCTTTGTGACAGCTTTGGGGAACCAGAGACGTCTCAGATTTGCTGGAGAAAGTATCCTATATTGATTTTACTCTTCTGAAGCAACGACTTCATCTGTGCACACCCTGAGCAGATGCTGACAGTGATGTCTCTTGTGAGAGCATCTAAGAGGCCCCAGATCTAGCTGGAGATATTGGGGTCTATTCTGGAGAAAGCAGCTTTCATGGGATTTCAGGTAACTCTGGGAGAGAAGAACATTTGCTATGTGGACTAATTGACCAAGAGCTTGTTCCCAGGGTGTCACTCCTAAGCCTGAAGCTGAGGAGTTTTCCCTCCTGGTGAGAGGAGCCAGACTGCACAAATGGTTGTGTCACTAAGGGAATAAGATATTAGAGGCAGTAAATACTCCTCCCCAGTGGGCTAGGCAAGTCAAGAAGGAGCCATAGAGAGCTTATTTCACTGTCAAAGTGGACAGAAAAGAAGCCTATGTGACTAAATAATCTCTCTGGATGAAAGTGGCCCACAGAGAGAGATCCAATGTCGTAAACTATGAGACAGATAGACAATAAAAGTGGGAAATACCATGTTCTAGCTCTAGAAGGCATTTTCTGGGCCTCAAAAACACAATATTGGCATTTCACACATGGGAGTAGAATGAATGGCATCCCATGCACTGGAGAAAATGCCCCCCAACTGTTTGGTTAGAAAGTGGAGACAACATTTAAAAAGCTCAACATTTTGAACATTTAAAGAAAGTTTATTCTCCATCTGTATGGCAGTAGTTTTATGTGTCAAAGGACCCACAAATGAAATGTGGGTAAGGGAAAAGCATGAAAGACATGTCAATAATAATTCTGAGTAATGTGAGCAACAGAAGAGATCGGCAATGTCATTTATTTACTCATTTGTGAAACCAATGCCTACTGAGTTCCTAGTAATATGCCAGGCACAGAGCTTGGAGCTGCGTATATAAAGAAAAGAATATATATATGTATTGTTAGTATTCAAACACTATTTAAGTTTTTTAGTAATTACTAGTCATAATTCAAAATTTACTACCTAAATTAGGAGTCAGCAATCTATTGTCCATAAGCCAAATCCGCTTCACCGCCTCTATTTGTAATCAAACTCTGAGCCACATCTAACTGCTTTCATACTGTCTCTGCTGCTTTCATGAAACAATGGCAGAGTTAAACAGCTGTGACAGACACCATATGGCTTGCAAAATCTAACAAATTATGTGACCACTTATAGAAAAAGTTTGCTTATCCCATGTCAAAATCACTATCACAGGTATAGTCTATAATTAATCCTGATGGCGCATTTTGGACTCAGCCAGCCCCTTTCCTTCATGGCCTGCCCAAGTTCCAGCTTGGTGGGAGCATGATATTTCTCTAAACCTGACTATGGAGTGGGACACAATTACACCCGCTTCTGGAAAACAAGACATTTTCTTTTAAAAGACTTTTAAGGTCAATGCTGAGAGAAAATACACAGGAAATAGCACACATAACATAAAGGAAAGTTACAAAGTTTAAGACAACCTATATTTTCGTTCAGAAACATATATTTAGGTAATATATTAAATGCCAGGAAAGCCTTCTGAATTTGATAGCTCTGAAAACACACAATGTGAACTCCCTTTGATATCTACTAAAATATTCAGATGAATAGAAAAAGATATGAAAGCAATGGTCAACAGCCCCAAACTGAGGGAAAGGTCCCACTCAGATCTGAGAAATGTCATGAGATAGTTTTTCTAGATAAAAGATAAGTGGAATCATAACTACAGCAAAAGATTAAAGAAACAACTCCCTTTTAGGGAAAAAATGTGAATTTATGTCACAGAGAATAAGGCGATACTGTCCAACTTAAAAGGATTATATTTTGTGGTGTAGGAGACCACAAAAAACCTGGGTTCCCTTCTCTGGCAGCGCCTTAGATTAGTGAAAATCAAGAACACTGGAAAGTAGAGATGACAGCTGTGAGCAACCTACAGAAGAGTCTAGTACCTGTACTAAAGATGCCAGGGTGTAGTTAAACTGGTTCTTTGAAATGAAGAAGACAGTAGGAAAGTGATTCTAACTGATAAAAATGGAAACTAATGCCAGGGACATACAACATAGCTGGAATGGGGACAGGACAAAATAAAATCTGGAAATAGAATATTGGACCCATCACAGCAACTTCAATAAACATAGAGAATACACTGTACCAAGGTTCCCTGCAGGGCTCACATCTGGCACCCCAACTCAATTCTCACTCCACAGACAATGCTCAGTCAGAACCACAAAGAGGGATTAGAATACACCTGGTTGATGACCGAGGAAAGAAAGCAGAATTTAAAAAAAAAAAACAGAATATACCTCACCTTGTTTAAAGAAAAAGAAAAATGCCAGCAAGAGTTTATGAAAAGAGTATTCAACATAAGAATAATCACCAAAGGAAGAAAATATAACACAAAAGAAAAAAAAGAAGAAGAGATTTCTAAAGAGATTTAACTAGAAACATGTTTTAGTTCATGTATATTTTGGGTTCACAGGGGGAAAAAAAGCAAAAAATGGACTCAACAAAGATGAATGAAAGATGAGCTTATAAATCAGTAGATTCAGGAAAAGAGAACTGAGAGGCAATCAGAAGGAAGGAAACTAAATGGAAGAAGACAGAGATGGGGGGGCAAGAGGAGGAGGAGGAGAAGAAAAAGGGAAGGAGGAGGAAGGTGAAAATTCTTAAATGAAATAACAACGAAAAGAGAAGAGTATAATCAGTACAGCAAAATACCTCAGTTCACAGAGCTAGAACACACACTTGAGAAAGTCTGCCACGATTAGGATTAGAATGTAAATGCCACGCTTGCCTGGTCACAGATGTCTTCAAGATAGAGGGGACTTTGCCAGCATGTCTGTGGGTCAGGTCAGCCTCTCTGGCTGGAGCAAAGCCGGAGGGCAAGCCCAGGGTGTGCTGACCGTGGAGATCAAGGTGAGGTGGAGTGTGTTCTCGGGAAAGCACATTTCTGCTCTCAGGCACCAGAGATATAACATGCACAAGAATTTTGTACATTCCGCACATACGATGTATATGAGTTTGTCCTGTGGCCCATATTGACTTTGTCAAGATTCCCCAAGTATCCTATAACGAGATTTTTTTCAATAAGTTACAAGAATTCAGCAGTGCAAGACAGTTTTCGGTCACAGATTTTGGACCTTAAATCAAATAAACAGCAACACTAGCTAAAAACCATACCTCCACAAATAAAGATCTGAACCATCCCCTAAGGTCTTTCCTGAGTTTGGTTAAGGGATGACCAAGAAAAGGTGGGTGGGGGCTTGGAGAAGAGAGAACCTGAGATTTAAAACTACTTATTTTTCATATTCAAGAAAAGACAAGACTGCTCAATGGCCGAAGTCCCAAATCATAGACAAGTAACTACCGTTAGAGGTAACTTCTGAGAGGTTAGTTACCGATCAGCCACAGGCTCTCGCCTTCTACTTTGTGGACATTAGCCAGTCATTCAATCACCACTGCATTCTGGTAGACCAGCTGGCCAACAACCGTTTCAGCCTAGGGACCACTGTGACACAAGTGGAAGTCCATCCGTCTCTAAACACCCTGCTTCTGAAAGCCCACCAATTCCTGAATACCAGGCTTCCCAAAATTTTGTGGAAGATCAGCTTTGGCTTTGTTTGGAACAATTATGCCTCATAAGTACAGCTCTCGCTTGCAGAGGATCAGGAAACTCACCTCATTTTGCATCAGATATTTGTTCACAAACCCTCAATCCTTTCAACATCAACTCCTGTTTACTGTTAAATATAAACTTGTATTTATGAGCGACAGATATCCTGAGGAAAAAATGAGATTAGAGATCTTTTCAATTCCCAGGTGGTTGCTATGACCTCTTCTTTTTCTGTGTATATTTGCACCCCCAAATGCCAAGACACCAGTGTAAATTTTGCAATGAATTTTCTTTTTTGGGGGGATGAATTTTCTGAACAATGGACATTTATTAAATGAAGAAAATGTCCTTTTATAGCTCTTTGAACAGTATGCAATTGTCACTCAGTATGGAAAATTTAAAGCTAGATATAAACCAGCATATCCTGATAGTTAACCATAAGAATGTATAATTTCCTCAACTACTTCCAAAGGAAGTGATAAAATAATGAATTTTTTGATTAAGAGAAATTCATATGAAGAAGATAAAATAATCATGGCAGAAATTGTAATGGCTTCCCATCCTGTATATCATTATCAGTCTTTTAGCTCAAATGACTGTTTGAACATATTGCTAACAAAAGTATTTTTGAATTCCAAAATTGCAAGTAAATTCTCAAGTGCCAGGATGAAATCTATAGCAATAATAAAAAATGTAATAGCTCCATTTACTGTTACAGAGATTATCAGAGATCTAAATGCCTCACCTTTTTTTTTTACAACATAGCCGTGATTGCAAGTAATCACAATGGAGGGGAAAAAAATGTTCCGTTGCTTGTGCAATATTTTTCATGTAAAGAGTTGCCTTATAAGGGTACTACAGGTAAAATCCCTTCCAGATGAGACTTCAAAAACAAAAGCAGATGTTTGTAGAGAACTCTCATATTTAATTAGGAGTTAATTTTTTAATTGCACTGCTTTTGATAGAAACAATACAAATACACATGTGGGTATAGAGATGCAAACAATTTCATTTGCAGTTGAAGCTGGGCATGAATGAGTCTGTGGAAGATGTTGGTTGCCCTGTCCATACTCTGCAAAATATGACTCGGACCACATCTATATCCTTTCTGTTGACACTAAAGTCTTAGTCATGAAATTGTTCTCCAATTCAGCACTGTTCAAACTGAACAATGAAAAGATTCTGTGGTTTTGTTTGCATTTGGTATTGTTCATTTCTGTCAAATTCAAAAACCTGTTGGCTCTCTTTTTAAAAAAAAGATTTTATTTATTTACTTGAGAGATAGGGAGAGGCAGTACAAGCAGGAGGAAGGGGCAGAGGGAGAAGCAACTCCCCCCTGAACAGGCAGCCCAGGCCCCTGGGATCATGACCGGAGCCTAATGCAGACTCTTAACCAGCTGAGCCATCCAAGCTCCCCACTGTTGGCTCTCATTAACAGGTGAAGTTGAGAGAAACTTCAGTTTATTTTGAAGCACTGTAATCATACTTGAATTCTGGTGGCCCCAAAGTTCTTGTTGATTTTTTAAATAGCTCATTGAATGAAGCCTTCTTATTTCTTGTTCATAATTTTCAATATCTCTTTAGCAAAAAGTTTATGCAAATGTTTAAAAAACAGTAAATAGTGTTACTGAAGTACTCTGTTGCTTAAAGGAACACGCTGAATGGGTTGAAGAAAGAACTGATGAAAAATTTATCCCGTGTCAAGGTTGCTTTTACTAGGCATGACATTACTTATGAACAGGAAAAGAAATTCTGATTTGAAGAGGATGATTATTACAGCATTTGCCATGACTATTTTTTCAAATGGATTCTATCTCTTGAAAAATTCCACTTTTTTTTTACGTGGATATTACTAAATGCTCTTCCAGCATGGGAACAAGTGGATTCATGATATATAGTATTAAAGAAAAAAGAAATAAAGATTGACAATAATGCTCTTTTGGTTGTGAAAAACATTTTTAAAAGCCACTGACCAAGAGATACAACATAATCCTAAAAAATGGAAAAGCAAGCTATGCCATGAGAGATGACATTAATACTTCAACACATCTAAATTGGAGAACTTTCACAGTGGTAAACTTCACAACTATAAATGTTCAGTGGCTGACTCATAGTCTAATGTTGAGTGTATTTTCTCATTAATTAATGTTGTATGGGTGAAAAAATGAAATGGATTGCATGTGAAATAAATTATATGTGGCTACATCATATGTAACAGAAACTATGTTACAATGTAAATGGAATATGGACTAGAACTGCAAGGAAGCTAGCTTATAAGCAAATTACACAAAAGAATGGTTAAAGAAGGTCAGAGTATCAAGAAAATATAATTAAAAGAAGTGTTATGTAATTTAGATATTTTATAAATTATTTGAGATGAATAATGAATAGCTTTTAATTTAAAAATGCCCATGTAATATTTTTACCTCATTGTGCATATGCATACGCCATAGCAATGATTTAAATTGAGCAAACATAGGCATCCTATATTTTATTGCTAAATTTGGTAACCTTAATCAAAGACAAGTGCTTGCCTCATTTGCTCAGGATTAAGGGAGTTGCCTCTCTGATGTTTTCAGGAATATATGCAGATTGACTGTGGGGCACAGGAGGCTGGGAAGAGCACTCTCCAACAAACGACAATGCTCCAACTATTGGTCCAGCCAGGACAGTCTAAGAGAACAGAAATTCTCCTCCCTTGGGAATTTCCATTAAGATTCCTTTGTAACAGCTGGGGAAACTGAGGTATAGGCAAGTAAGGTAAGTTCTCAGTAAAAAGTAGAACATGTGCTGTAGTGGAATAGGAAATGCATAGCACCTAATAACAGAGCACCGAAATACGTGAAGCAAAACTGATGGAACTAAAAGGAGAAATAGACAACTTAATAATAATAGTTGGAGATTTCAGGGGCGCCTGAATGGCTCAGTCATTTGAGCATCCAGCTCATGATTTCAGCTCAGGTCATGATCTCAGGGTCATAAGATCAAGCCCTTCATCAGGCTCCACACTCAGCATGGAGTCTTCTTGAGATTCCATCTTCCCTTCCCCCACATCAAATAAATTAATTAATTAAAAAAATAGTTGGAGACTTCAATATTCCAAATTCATTAATGGGTAGAATGAGTAGAGAGAAGATCAACAAGGAAATAGGACCTGGGGGGCGGGGGACAACAACTGTATGTAACTGTATGTCAACTAGATCTAATAGATATATACAGAATACTCCACCCAATAATGACAGGTATACATTCTTCTCAAGTATACATGGAATGTTCTACAGGAGAACACATATGACAGGCCATAAATCAAACATTAATCAATTTGAGAGGATCAAAAACACACAAAGAATGTGTTTTACAAAACTGGAATGCAATTGGAAAATATGTGTTTTATATATTAAATATATATATATGCTATCACATAGATTAATATAAAAACATTCTCCCAAACAACTGATTGGTTAACAAAGAATCCATAAGGAAAATAAAAAGTTACTTTGATATCACCAAAAGGTGAAAAACTTACACTCTGTAAATTACAAAATATTGTTGAAAGAAATTTTAAAAGATCTAAATGGAAAGCATCTCAATTTTAAGATTAGAAAACAATATTGTTAACATGGTGATAGTCCTTAAATTAATCTACAGATTCAATGCAAACACTATCAAAATCTCAGCTAGTTTCTTTGATAAATTGACAAGCTGATCCTAAAATTCATATGGAAATACAAGGGACCTAGAATAGCCACAACAATCTTTAAAAAGAACAAAGTTGGAATACACATACTTCCTGATATCTAAACTTGCAACAAAGCTACAGTGATCAAGACATAAGGATAGACATATAGATCAGTAGAATAAAATTGAAAATCTAGAGGGAAAAACCACATTTGCAGTAAATTGATTTTCAATGAGTGTGTCCAAACAATGAAATGGGGAAACAATGATCTTTATAATAAAAGGTAATGAATGGGACTACTTGATATCTACATGCAAAAAATGAAATCTGACTTCTACTCCACACCATATTTAAAAATGAACTCAATACTAAATATGAGTTAAACTATAAAACTCTTAGAAGAAATGGGTGTAAATCTTCACGAACTACAATCTCTCAATGATTTCTTAGATATGACACCAAAAAAGCAGAAACAAGCAAAAAAAAAAATAGATAAGTGGGACTTCATCAAAATTAAAAACTTTTGCTTCAAAGGGCACCATCAAGAAAGCAAAACAAACAGAGAAGTGACATGCAAAATTGAGAGAAAATATTTGCACAAAACATTTAAGGGACTTGGATCTAGAACATATAGAGAATGCTTACAACTTCGTAATTAAAAGACAACTCAATTAAAATGATCTGAATAGACATTCCTCCAACAAGAAATACAAATGGTCAAGAAACACATTAAAAGATACTCAACACCATTAGTCATCAGGGATATGCCAATCAAAATCACAATGGGACATCAATTCACAACCACTAAGATGACTAGAATCAAAATGTTAGATATACCAGGTATTAGTGAGGAGCTAGAAGGCTGGGAACCATCATACTTTGTTGTTGAAAATGTAAAACAGTCTTGTTGTTCATCAAAAGTCAAACAACGTTCCTACATGGTCCAGCACTTCCACTCCCTAGGTATATATCCAAGAAAAAATGAAAATGTGTGTCCACACAAAACTTATATACAAATGTTCATAAATATAATGGAAAGAGTAGGGGTCCCACCTCTCACCTTCAGGGTTTGGCCCTGCTCTATTCCCCAGGCCTCCTGACTATGACCATGATACCCACCTTCCTCCTCAGGATAGGAGATGATTGTATCGATTGGTGATCGCATTTGTCAAAATCCACAGAACGGCATAACACAGAGTGAACCTCAATGTAGACCATGGACTACAGCTGGTAATAAGGTGCAGAGGGTGCTGTGGGTATACGGAACTCTATGTTCTATGTGCTCGATTATCCCAAAAATCTAAAACCGTACCAAAAAAAAAAAAAAGTAAGACTTTTAATTTTTTCTTTCAACAACTACTTGACAAGTCGTCTTACAGGTGTTCTGACTAAGCCATCCTCAACCGAAAGTACAGGCCACAGACAACCATCAGGGAAATGAGAAAAGACTGTCAGAAAAAGACACGGATCTTCTCCGGATGTTATCTGTCAAGGTAGATTGACCTGAAACAGAAGGAAGCAAATGACAAATTGAACCATGAAGATGAAGACCTGGAAATCTGCAGAAAAGGCAGTTGAAGACCTGGAAGGAAAGCTGGGAAGAAGCTTTTCATTCACTGGGAGCCAGATTACCTTCCTTGACTGTACCTCCTGACCACTGGTTGAGAGGCAAGAGGCAGAATGAAACTTTGTCATCTCCGGACAGAAGGAGCAGACCTGCCACAGAGCCTGCAGACACAGCCTTTACACCAACGCTTCTGGAACTGCATCTCATGCATCTGATGATCCAGACCACACATCTGTCTGGGAGGGTTTGTTCCTCAACCCCTGAACATGAATGTGGCCTCCTCTGAGTCAGGAGGGCCTCACTCCCTCCTCCTCTGACCCCCGTCCTTCCCCCTATTCTCAAACCCAGGATTGCCAGTGAACCCAAATGGGGAGTTCATAGCATGATGCCCACTTCTCCTCCTTCCTCCAGAATGCTTCAGTGAACCCCCCACAAGCTGGCTGTCCACCAAGGGGTAACTCTCTTCTCCTGGTTCATTGTCTCTCACAGCATCTTTGCTTCTGCATTCTTTTTTTTTCTTTCTGAGCCTTTCTAGGTATTTCTTTGCTTGTTCATGTATAGATTTATTCAATAATGTTGATTATGACCTACTAGGTACAAAAGTATATGCAAAATGCGGGAAGTCCCTGTGAGCCACAACTCTCCCCAAACTCCTCCCTGTCCCCTATCCCAATCCTGCTCTCCAGCCAGGCCTGTGAGTCTGGGAAAGCTCTGAGGATAGATAATACTTATGGAGAACCTCTGCTCCTGGTATGAGTTCCTGAACCTTCAATCTGCAGGATTTGCAGAATGAAGCTTGAGAATTAATGGAGGATTGACCTCAGGGTAACCTGGCTGCCCCAAGGAGAAGCCCCAACCTAATAATCAGGACCAAAGAGATGAATGGCATCCTTGTCAGTTAAAAAAATGCTTAACCAGCTGTTCCCATACTCTTTGGTTTGGGGCCCGGATCATCACCTTCTTCCCAAACTCAGCTCACTGGGTCCCCTAAGGATGAGACAAATCCCTAAGCTGAACCAAGCCTTGACTCCAGAACCAAATCCCAGAAACCGTAAAGCATGAGCTCTGAGCCCAGGAGCCTAAGACAAAGAAACAGAGCTCAGTTTGTAGGAGAGGGAACAGCCCAGAACTCAAAGACCCAAGCCCTGGTGTGAAGTCTGAGGTCTTAACCCAGGAGGAGATCTTGGGAAAAGGAGACAAGAATGAGAGAAGACCAGCTAAAGTCTAAGCACTGTAGCACAGAACAACCCCAGGAAAAAGCTCAAAATTAGCTCAGACCTTGGAAGCGAGAGTTCAGGAAATCGAGCCAAGTCTCAACCTAGAGGCCTGAAGTCTCACATACAGCCCATGGCCTTTTTAGAGTCCTAACCTTGAGCCTGAAGACCCTCCTGGGGACAGAGCCCAGAGCCTGAATCCTGGGTCAGGAATGCGTGTTCTGTTCTTTCCTGAAGCTCCAGACCACTATGTTCTCGTGTGGTTCGTAGGGTGACGACAGTGGCACTGCATCAAACCACAGTGCTCCACAAAGGGCCTGCAAAGTGCCCATCACTGTCAACATCTTACTTCCTTCACTGTCTTTGAATCCCTGCTAGAGAGCAGAGACATTAAATTGATGGCTTTGGGTGTAAGAATATGTATCTAGGGTACAAACCTGATTTTGTGCATCTGTGTGAGGGTAGAACTGTGAGGGGACGGAGGGTTATTGCTTGTCTCATTTCAGGTGCTCTTCTATTGTCATCATCCACGACTCCAGTGTGTCTCTGGAAGCTGCTCTGGTGGGAGTTATAAGAATCCTGGCTGCACGTAGGTACCATAAAGGTCTGAATAATCCCAAACCACCAACCTCGAGATATCTGGGTTTCAGGGTCCAACCTTGGGGCCGTAGGGGTCACATGGGGGCAGGGCTTGCCTGGTGACTCTGGGGGCAGGCCCAAGAGGTTACTCCTTATCCCCCCTCCAGGGGGACTCACAATCGGGGACCAAATCTTCACCACTGAGTGCCTTCTCGTCTAGGGACCCACTCCAATGCATGGAGCCCACCTCCACTCTATCCAGTAGACATGAACTTGTGGGGACACACCACTCCATGTGGCCTCTTACTTTATTTCCTGTGTTTCACTTGTCCCTCCCTTATTCACAGGGGCCATAGGCGGATGGATAGTGGAGGGGGCCCGTTCGGGGGCTTCCTCTGGGGGCACCAACTTCTCACATTTTAACTCATTGGCCAATAATCTCCTCTGGTAATGGCTATACCTTCAATGGTTCATGCTCTCTCTTCCTCATAGATATGCCCTTAACAATAAAACCCCTTTTCCCGGCCTAGGTCCTTTGAAACGGCCCCTCGTCTCAGTTTTTTTTTTTCTCTTCTTGCCTTGGTGTACTGCACCCTGCATTCACTACACTGACTACTGCTGTTAATTGGACTCCAGGGGGGGGCCGGAAAGGAGAGGGGGGGCCAAGCCACCGGCTCTGTGAAAAACCAAAACGGGCGGCCGGGGGCGCGGAAGGCCTTTTTTCCTCATACCTCTTTAAAAGTCCAATGCATGGCCTGAGATGTTCCAGGGAGACCTCCAGTTCCAAGTCCAGATGAGCTTCAGGCCTGCAGAGACATTTCTGAGTGTGGCCATGGTCAAGGTGGAAAGCAGGCCCAGCGGGTGCAGGCTCTGGCTGCATAGCACACTCTCCCTGGGGCCTCAGTCCTCACAGCCCGCCCCCCCCCCCCAGACACAATGCCCCACTCTTTGCTCTGATCCTCACTGGCCTGTGTGTCCAGTCAAGGACTGAGCCTCCCCAACACCGAGCCTCAATGGTTGGATCAAACTGCCTCATCTCTGGCCTCTGAAAATATCAAGTCCTCCCCTGGCTCCTGCCTGGGCTCCTGCTCTCCCTTCCCTGAAAAGCTCTCTGTTCCTCTCTCACATCCAGGTGCCCTTTCCACCATGCCTCGTCCTGGGGCCAGAACCCCACTTTTCCACAGGACAAATGGGGTGATTGCAAGACTTGCTGTGCAATTTCCTCTATTATCCAAAATTGAGCTGCTCATTCTCTTAGGAGAGTTTGTGAGAAGAAATAAGAATTTCTGTTCCATGGCTCCAGAGGACCTAATGAGGAGGGAAGGGAAAGGCTAAGGATCAGATTCAGCTGTGAGGGACGTCGGAAGCAGGAACTAGTGCAAGAAGGCAAAAGATGACGGGCCGATGGAGGAGGAAATGCATACGTCACTGCATATTCTACGGGATTGTGCAGGCTGAGTCCTGGGAATGATGTTTCTGAGTGGCTGCAACACGTAGCTCCAAGATACACCTCCTGGGCATTTAGCATAAATTCCATAGGGGTTTCCTAGATCATTGAGGAAGATGAAGAAAAATTTGATGCCAGAAGAAAAAATGGAACAAAAGCAACCATAGAAGTTGGAAGAAAAAGCCTTGATCCAAGAATTCAATAGCCACCTATATTATGTTGCTCCACTTTGGTTGCCTTTCAGACAACGAGAATATATTTTTATGTATAAAAGGGGACAAAAAAAGAGGGGGACATAAATATTCTACCAGTATTTCTGCCTTCAAAAAGTTATAGTAACCCAGAGATAAATCAAAATAAAAGTACAAGTAGGTGAGAGTTCTTGGCGTAAAAAAACTAGAATGTACACAGGAAACAGGGAAACATAAATATAAGGGTAAAAATAGCTATTACGAGGGGTAAAAAAAAGAATGTCTTTGCCAAAATCATTTGTGAGTAGAAGGAACCAACGTGGAGCTATACAAATAGCATATAAATTTAACAATAATAAACCGGGTCTGAAGTCACCTAGTTACCGGGTGGGAGTTAAGATGAGTTTGAAGAAAGAATGAAAAACAGGAAATGGGCCAAAATACAAAGGGAGACCAAAGAAAATATGTAGTGCCTTAAAAAACAAAGTAAAGAAAGTCTAGAATCAAAACAGGGTTGAAAGCCCTGCATTTATTCTCCTTCATCAGCCAAATTTAAATGCTCCAACAATAAGAAATTTGGGGAAACCAGAGGGCCCTCTTAAATCCCGAAAACCTCAAAAAGTAAGTGTACATGAAGAGATACTCCCGATGTACAATTTAAATAAAAATATAGGTTAGGGGCACCTGCGTGGCTCAGTCAGTGGACTGTCCAACTCTTCGTTTCAGTTCAGGTCATGATGTCATAGTGGTGAGATTGAGCCCCGTTGTAGGGGCTCAGATTCTTCCCTCCTGCTCTCTCTTTCTCTCTCTCAAATTAAAAAAAAAATCTTTAAAAATAAATAAATAAAAATATAGGTTAGCAAACAAGGCAAATAATGACAAATATTCCACTAGCACGTAGGATGTGCCAGGTGCACTGCGTCCTTCACACTTTTCACTCGTTGAATCTTCACAGCAACCCCATGAAATAAGTAAAGGCATACAATTAGTAAATGCTAGGACTAGCATTTACACTCCAATGCTTTGACCTATTTCATTCAGCATGATACCCCCCAGTTCTATCCACATCAATGTAAATGGTAGGTATTCATCTTTTCTGATTTTACTCCTATGAAAAAGCGAAAGGACCATAAGAGAAAGGGGGGGGACTGAGTGGGGAGAAATCAGAGAAGAAGACAAACCATGAGAGACTCCTAACCCTGGGAAACAAAGGGGTTGCAGAAGCGGGGGTGGGTGGGAGGATGGGGTAACCGGGTGACAGGCATTAAGGAGGGCACATGACAAGATGGG